TCTCTTCACAGGTGAGCCCGCGCGTTCTTCGAGTCATCCGCCCATATCACCTCGAAAGCAGGCACTAAATTCACCTTTTATTAAAGCGACAAGGCCGCGAAGAACCAAATACTGAACGAAAATTTGTCTAGTTAATCGACCTTGTTGGCGACATTTCCTGAGCTCGCTTGAGTTTCGTCAACAGGTCAAAAAAAGTTATAATTTTAGTAGGTAATTTCTAAATTACTCGGGAAGGCTTCTTTTCTTTATATTAGTGTAAAAAAGTTGGTTTTTTTCTAACTACTGAAACCATTGTGCCCGTTAGCTTAATAAACACAAGTCATGACATATTATGTTTATGATGCTTCCTGCTTTGTGGTTGTTTCTACGACGTCTGATTTCGTAATTTTATTGATGAAGAGCGATAATAAAAAGCTGGGGATTCGCTTTACTTTGCGTTTCTTGGTTAATAACTATAGCATGTCCTAAAAAAAGTTCCCAGTTTTTTTTTTTATCGCAAAAATAAACTACACATAACCATACGCTTAAACTTCACCCAAGAATGTAGCTCTATGGCGATTCGAACCAGATGCCAAAGTGTTCAAAACAAAACGTTATCTCAATAAAAAGTAACAACTGATCTAAGAAAATTTTAATGGAAAATGGGGGGGGGGGGGGGGGGGGGGGAGGGCTTTTAAACAACTTACCTTGCATTAAAGGAAATAAAAATCGAAAAGAATATCTGTTGTGCACAACGGGTTTGTCCTTTCAGGCGTCGGCTATATGTCGGTGGCATACTGCTTTCTGCTCGCCGTATGCCAGTCCCTGCGAGAGGTCTACGCCGCCTTGTACCTGGTCCACGGGGTCGCCGAAGGGATACCGTGGTCGCGCTGCAGGGACGAGTGGACCAGTTGCTACGACCCCGACAACGAATTTGTGAGCGCTCCTTTTTGCGCATTTTATACTGCAGAAAGAATCGCACGAAGGCTATTTTTCTTAACCTCCGATGACCTTAATAGAATAAAAACAAGTGTAATACCATTTTTTTTTAATATACAGCGAATTTATATTTGTTTCACACAAAGTTCGACTTCAGTCAACGCCATGATCTGACGGAGAAAATTAAGCAGCGCCAAAGAATGTATCGCCATGGCGCTCGTCGTCCTTATGGGTTAAATCATAGCCTCCTCTATACTCTCAAAGCCTGGCAGTTCGACGACGGGGCCACAGAGTGCCCTGTCGCAGATTTGAAGCGCGAGGATCTGGTAGGGCAGAACATCAAAGAGTCATTTCTTTGGGAACCTGGACGTCACCGCACAGCTTTTGCAGTGGCGAGGACCCCAAACACACTTGTTCGCTCGAGAGAAGTGTGAATTCGGCAAGAGTGATGGCACGTGTGCAGTAACGATAGCAGCGCCACCACAGTGGCGTGACGTCAGTGAGTTGAGTTGGTCTATACACGTCTGCAACTACTGCTTCAGGGCGCTGCCATCGTGCTAGGATGGGGTGCGCTTGGGCGCATCATAATCCGATTACGAAGCCTTGCTAAGGTGTCGTAATCGGATTATGGCCGCGGCCAAGAGCGCACCCCACTGAGCAAGATGGCGGCGCCCTGAGACCGGACTTTCAAACGTGTGTAGATACACGCTGTAGCTACTAGATACATTTAGGCAATTATCGTGACATTGCGCAAGCTTTTCGGACGACTCCTCAACCTGAGTTCTGGGACATTTCATCGAGCGTCAACGGGTCTGATACAGGGGCCGATTGTAGATGAATCTTCCGTGAAAATAAAGAGATAAATACTCAAAACGCTACGGCGATTTTCAAAGCGAGAAAGCAATGAAGCATTTTTATTTGATGTTCACATAAAGTGAATAAAAAAGGCTTTGTTTTGGCGTACTTGCAGCGACGCTGCAAGGACGAACAAGGTAACGGGAGTGCCACAACGATACCGAACCGAGGCAACAACGCCAGGTCGTCTCCCGTTGGCGTCCTCCCCCTTTCGAATGCGTCGGTCACCGTAGGCAACCTTTCTGCTTTGTGCATCGACGCGAGCCGATCGTCTTCGGAGGCCTACCTTACGTAAGTCAAAGCTCACTCTCAGTGTTGGAGTTGACAACGTCGTTTCCTAGGTCTCGTCTCGTGTCTCTTACGGTGTTGCCCCCTTGTTCAAGATGACATTATCGCTGGGATCACGTGGTAGTAAACACGTCGGGTAAACGCGTAGAAAGCTTCACTCTCACAAACAGCTGCTACGGAGGTTGGAGAAGCTAGGAACGTAGAAATGGCACACTAGGTTTCTTCTCAGACTAAGGTGAGGCGAAACGTTTTTTTTTTTTAAAACAATGTTTGAACCAATATTTCATTCAAGTCATTTGTATAAAAGCCGTGTTAGTTATTTATATTATTCAGACATGTACACGTTACTGAAAAAGTAACTACATACCGTTACGTTTTATTCACTCGAAACTTAACAAAGATTCTTTTTCACGTCAAAAATGAACGACAAATTGCCGAACGCTCAGCCTTAGCTTGATACATTTTGAGTCACTTTATATAAAGTAGTTTGTTGTTAAATAATTTGTAAATGTGACTCTAAAACTTGTTTCGTAGCTTTTTTTCTTTGCATAAAAAGATTTTTTTTTAGTTTTTCATATTTTGTGTACATGTTGTAAACTTTTTACAAAATACGCCGGAAAAGCGATTACTACGTACATGCTTTGGTGTGAAATTGACGGCTTTGCAAATTAGTATAGTGAAACTATGGCAATCTTCACGCCTAGATCTTTGAAATTTCATATATCTATAGTAAGTTAAAAGTTAAGAAGGCAGCGGCAAATGCCCCACCAAGGGAATGAAATATCTCTCCGCCATCTCCGCGTCCAATAGCGTCGACGTTGTGGCCAACGCGCGAGGAGGGTCTTGCCTTTTTGTACATATTTTTTGTATCCTTCGACTTTGACTTAGCATTGTGGAAGCCACGAGAGGGAGATTAGAGTTTTCCCCCTCCGATAGAAACAAATACGACTTTCGGTGATTAAGTTCCCCCTCCTATGGATACAAACGCTGCTTTCAGGGGCTCGGTTCCCCCTCCGATGAATACTAAGGTCGCTTTCTTAAAAAGAGGGATCGGAGACAAGTTGGCATCAATTTGTAGCCAATACCTATCCATTGAAGCGGAACAGGGAGCGTTTCCAGTGAACTCTTCTTTTGACTGCGGACGGATTTGAAACGGGAGCATCACGCTTGTGGGAGGAGCTTCTCCTGCCGTTTTGAGTTGTAAATGACTATAGCCGAAAATTGGCAACTCAGTTCAAATAACTGAATGCTTCTCCAAAGAACATGGCTTTCACATCTATTTTTACAGCGGAGCTATCAAGGGCTTGTTTTTCCAGTTTCGTGTCCCTGGACAAATAAACCTCGACACAACCCTCTGGACAGCTACCGCCATCTATAAGCGACGGCGGCACATAGTACAGCTCCGCTGATATATATATATATATATATATATATATATATATATATATATATATATATATATTACCAAGACCGTTTTACAATATGATATGGAAAAAACCTGTACTTGCGTGTTGTTGGTGCAATGTTCTCTTTATATTTTAATACACTTAGGTGCTTAGATCGAACGGTCTTTCTTAGGTGAAAAACTAATTGGGTAGCGTATGTTGTACACTTCCCATTCCGAAATAACTAAATATCGTTACTTGTTACTGCATCTAAAAGTAACGAAAGTACTTTAATTGTTCCATCTTTCGGAAAGTAACTACGTCTTTACTTCCTAAAAAATGTAACCAGATAGGGACAACACGTCACCTGTAACGTGTTACGTAGAAGTCTGATATCATTAAATTTTTCGCTTTCTTCATCTCTCTGGATGACATGACTGCTTCAAATCATTTGTTAAAATCAATATAAAGATCACCCTCAATACTATTGAGCCACGTGCTTTAAAAAAAAGGCATTACGAAAATGATGATTGTTAGGCCATGTACATTGATGATAAATCAAATATATGACGTTTCTTAAAAGGGTTTTGCAGCGTTTTAATATGACTTACACAAAGTTCAGTAGTTTTTTTTATGTTTTACCCATACACAACAAAGCAACGCGATATTTCATAATATATACGAGGTGTTTCTTCTTAAGCTTAACATATATGTTTAAAAAAGCCGCGAAAGCTACATTAATGCAGCTTGTTGAGGTGAGTCATACGGAAAGGGAATAATGGTCACAATGAGTCAAATATCGGACAAAAAATTGTAAATAAATTTTCAAGTGGTTGAAATAGACGTATGATTTCAATTAGAAACTTGCTTAGCATAAAAAAAAAAACACTAAATCGGTAAGTTTTCGAAACAAAAACTCAGGGCGCGTGGAACCGTAGTAGTGCGCTAAAATTGCCACGCGTGCAAGAGGCAAACGGCAGGAACTACGATAAAAGACTGAACAAAAACATCGGGGGCGCCTTAGCGTACCTGTAGCCTGGCTCCTGCTGCAGGAGTGGAAACTTAAGTGCTCCCCCTTGCTTCCCACGTGCTCTAAGTATTCCTAATGTCGACTGACTTAGTGGTTTGCGATGACGCTCAGCAAGTTTCTAATTGGAACCACATGTTTATTGTCAATACTTCAATCGCAAAGTAACTTATTTTACTTAATTATCCGACGCATCCCTACAATTTGTCCCCTATACTATGTCCCTCTGGCGGAATAACTCACCTGCCCCAACAGCATTAGTGTAGCTTTCACGACTTATGTAAACACATATTTTAAGCTTGAAAAGAAACGCCCTGTGTATATCCAGATTTGTTGCAAAGAAAATATAAAATACGCTCAGCATTACTGAGCTACCTAATATTAAAAATACTGGTACGTTATGACGCAGATGAGGAACATTAGACACAGTAGCTTGCTTAATTAAGGTAACAACAATATATACAGCTGTGCTGCAGGGAACATTACAGTTTCACTTGGTCTCTCCCGGAGCCATTAGAATAATACAAATGGCATTTTGTTTACCGATGACCACGTAGTACTTTATTATAAAGGCAATGGTGTTCTATGTCTGCGTGCTTTACACTCTGTTTGACGAACCAATTCACGCCTAACCTCTTTCCGCAGAGACTATGTATGGGAGCTGAGCGATGGCGCCAGTAGCATAGGTTCATTCAAGAAAGAACTCTTTGGTTTCCTGACAATCCTATGGCTGGCACTTTTCCTGCTCTGTTCCCGACCACAAACATATGTGCGCGAGGTAAGGCTCTTGTGGAACCTTTTTTGGTGCCACAGTTTTTCTGTTGTCTTATTGGTTGTTGGTGAGAAGACGCAGCCAATCGGATGCGACTCTCAAGTTTTAGTTTTCTATTGGCTGTTGGGGTAAAGATACCGTCTCATGAGCACCACCAAAACATTTGGACAGCCGCGTCTCTTACCGCCAAGCATGTGTATAGGCAGCCACAGAAAGGGCCCATAGCATTTCTTTAGGGGGAGGGGATAGAACATTTTGAAACTGGATTTACTTTTGTGGTTTCTGATAATACCCAGCAGTCGTCTTATTAATACGCTATATTTGTAAAAAAAAGGGGTCGAGTCATAGTACACACGGGCAGGTGCACGTTTAGCACGACGGTAAGGAGTAAGATTGGGGTGGAAAACAAAAGCACAAAAACACACATACGCACACACAGGTTTTTTTTTTAACTGTACATCTTTCATACCCAAGTCTCAGATTGTCCAACTTATGCTGTATTTGTACTTGGTTACTAAAAAAAGAGTATTAATAAATTATCCTCAGGCTTATCAATTCTAAACACTAATCACTTTGCAGGTGCACAAGCTGGTCAGCCTTTTTGCAGTAATGGCATTCCTGCCTTTTTTATTTGAGTGCAGCTTTAACCACCTGTCTCTGCAAGCCCTGAGCTATTCCTTCCTGCCGGATATTAAGAAGCTCGCAGAGAAGCAAGTAGGTTTTTTTTGGAAACACTCCTCGCTCTGTACTTCGACAGGTTATTTCTGCTCTCATACTCTTTTCTCCTTTCTACCTTTAGATACGAAAAGTTCGGTTCCCTTTTTCGCCGAGTAGAAACCACACCCAACTTTATTCTCTGTAAAGGAGTGGATTGCTGGGCTAGTTTTTGATAGATCGAATTAGTGAAGACAGCGAAAATAGTTAGACGGAACGAAGTCAAAGAGAACCACACAGGAGACATACTAGTCTTTGTGGTCCTCTTTGACATTCTCTCACCATCTTGTGCCCTTTTCGTTATGTCGAGTGTTATATCACCCTTCCCTTTAGAATTATATTCTTTGCTCATTCTCTGTCTTCTCAGGTTACGGGAGAATCAGCACCTTTGCAGAAATTCTTAAGGACAATATGCTTGCTCGAACACGACGTCATTAGTAACAGAGCTGAGGCTAAATCTAATATAATTTCCTAACTATAGACCCTTTCCGGAATTCGGTCTGGCCATTTTGATCAGTATCATCATCATCTGAAAACGGCATATGTGCTATACTAATGGCGGCTTTCTGTTTACTGATGAAAGAAGAAGTTGAAGACGCTCCTAAGCACATGATTCGAGGCCTATACATTCTAGATGTTAGCGCGACGTGAAGCAGGAGTTGTACACAAGAGCTGCGTAAGCGTTCATTTCTAACTCGGTCTCAGTCCATCTGTTAGTAGCCCTCACTCGGCTTCAAAGCCCCTTGATGTATAGAACTCTATCAAGGCGTCTATGTGGGTTGGCGCTTCGTTCCGACTGGCTGCATTTGTTTCGTCATCGACACTAAAAGAGATTGAAAAAATAATTAGAATGAAGTGCACATTCTCGTTTACCGTTGACTTGTCAAAGTGACGCTGCCCCATTAAATACTGCAGACCACAGGTTCATTGCCGCCATTAATATAATAAAACATAAACTGCCATTTGAGTCACAAGAGGGAACTGAATTCCGGAAAGGGTCTATTATTAATATAAAAAGGACTCGGGGTTCCAATCTTTTTCCGTTTTTGTCGTCTCCATACACGTCTGCGAGCCAGCGCGCTTCAGTAACTCGTTTGGAAAAAGGCTTTGTTAGGGCAGTAGTCTGGCAACTGCGAGCTTGTCTCAGCAGTTGGCTATGGTGGCGCCCATGAACCGTAACTGCAAACGCATCTAACCTCAAACATTAGCTTCACTGATTTTTTTTTTCTCTCAAATCTCAAGGTATGGATGGATGCTGCGGAACACACCCTTCTGTCGCTCGGCAGTTGCTGCGGCATTGTTATCTTGATGGGATCGCGTTGCAAGTACGGGACGTCGATGGAAAGGTAAAGGAACATTGAACCATCTTGTCTTGATGATGCACCCCATCTTTTGTTTTCTTTCAAACTCATTCTTTATCAACGTATTGAGTCTCAACAGCTCCAGGTCCCAGCCTGCTCCCAGCGCTTTATATAACGCGATTTAGCACTGTTAACTCCGTCTCAGGCTAAAAAGTAGGAACCTGTTTGGCCCGAAAGACAGGTTTTTCAAGAACGCCACTTTATTATTGGACGCTTTTCTCACGTTGTGTGTCACCCGTTTTGTGCAATCTAGTACTGTCTAAAATAGCGTGCTTGCTCGAATAATTAGCTCAATGTTAACGAACGGTGTTCAAATCTATTTCCGGACAAACTAATAGCTGGTCACTGAGATCAAAGAAACCCAGTGAATATGGGTGTTGGATTTCTTAGTAACTCGCTTCAAGTAACACCGTTTGCTGTAACTCGCACTAACGTATTTGAGTGTACTGAGTAATGTACACATATATTTTGTTCATTAAGGTGTACACTGTTTGATTTCAATAGAGTTTTATTTTTCTTGTTAACATGCCAACAGCGGCGCTACTCGGAGCAGGAACATGCCGTTTTGCGTGCCTATGCTTTACCGGATGACAGTTCCGAGAAGGAACAAATTCGAGAACTCGTCACTATTCTTTCCCCGTGGTGTGTGATATCTGTCCTTACGCTTCCTCTACTGAAAAAAAATCCAAGGTCTTGCTCACAATGAGTTAGCAGTTTTTTTGCACGAAGGCGGCGAACAAAGGCTAACTATACTGATATTTTACAGATTTATAATTTCGACCGTCGTTGTGGACATCTTTGTCTGCCAGATAATATCCGTGCTGACCTACAGCTGGATTTACAAGTCAAAACTCAACCACAAGCAAATCAGTTCGGCGGTTCCGCTATTTTGTAAGCAACCTCTATTTATTTATTTATATCTTCTTGGAATATTGTCCACATAAGGCAATAAACTAGCAAACTTAGTATATATCAGGTAATATATAGTCACTGACAACTTAAGAAACACCGGGCGTGACGGGTCCGATCCGTAGTTCATAAGATTGCAGCGTTAGCCAATAGAACACCGCAGTAATAATCACAAAAGCGCGAACAGTGAACATAGTAAGTCTCGACATACGTTTCCTACAGAAACACTGAAACGAACAAAAAATGTTTAAAAAAATTATATATGGCGACAGGCATTTTATAAAAGAATTTTTCTACGAAAACAAAAGCTCAATTTTTACTTTTTCAGGCGCAATTAGGGTGGAGGTCACAGCCCGCTCTAAGCCCCACCCACAGATCGGTGGCCCCGCCCATTTCTAGTGAACTGACATGGCTGCTCGACCGAACAGGCTAACAGGCCTAGTTTATCCTGTTCGTGTCATCTGGTGTGTCTAATCTGGAAGTTTAACGCCGCCTGCTAGTCGTGTGAGCAGTCGAGCGGCAGCCTCCGGCACCGTCTGCTATTTCACCGCCGTCTATCGTCGTCTGCAATGCCGTGAGACGCAGACACGAAAGCTGCGCGCGGGTGTCCGTTTTCACATCCGTCCGTCTGCTATTCATCCCCCGGCTAAAAACGTCTGCAACGCTCAGAACACGCGGCCATGAATGTGGCGCTTTAACGTTTCATCATGCACGAGTAACGGTCCAATACAAACGTCTTTCAGCGTCTTTGGATGCGCGTAATAAGCAAAAGAGTGAACTAAAAAGAAAAAATGACAGCCGTTTACAACATCCTGTAACGCTGAATCAGAGCGCAGCTCCTGAGGAGGAGGAGGGGAAGGTACAGAGAGGAGGCTATGCCCCTCCTCTCCTGCTCGCCTCCTCATCCTACATGCTACTCCTCCTCCTCCCTCCTCCTCCCCTCATCCTTCACATACCTCCTCTCCTTCTCCCCCTCCTTCTCCCCTTCCTCTCCTCCTCTTTCTCTTCCTCCCCGCGCGGTGCACTATGGGAAATAACCGATAATGCATTGGGAGAAGAGCGTATTGGTTTAAGTCATGGATGAAAAAAGAATAAAACAATTAAAACAGGGACAACACAACCAGATCTTTCATTTGAAAGATGTGGTTGTGTTGTCCCTGTTTTAATTGTTTTATTCTTTCTTCATCCATGCCATAATGCAGCGCGCGGGACTTTCGTGACGTCCCACGGGACATCGCGAGTGACGTCAGGAGGGTCCCGCGCGGTGCATTGTGGGATATTTCCCATAATGCACCACGCGGTTACGCCAACGGCGACGCCGCTCAAGTCGGTAACGGGCGCCTAAGAGCTGCGCTCTAAAATCCGCAAAATAAATCTGCAGACTTTCTAGCTTTACTGATCTTGTTATTTTTTTCACATGGCAAACGCGAGCAGTGTGCGTGAGCGTCATGATGCACAATCAAAACTCGACGCAAAAATATTGGCTTTGGTAGGCCAGGCGCACTGCAAAAAATGAAAGCTATACTCCGCGAAAACTTTTCTTGGGATTTCCGGGCACAGCTTTATTCGGCGCTCAAAATGGGAGAGGGAACGCGTGCCTGTACCTTCCACTGCATTGTCAAGAAAAGTTGTCGCGGAGTATTGTTGCCTTTAGAGGCGCAATGACGGGAACATACCTAGAAGAACTTGATGCGAGCCCAACGTTTGATTGATTCCAACGAAATGGCCCGCAAATTCTTACCTGTGTTGTTATCTTCTCGGGTATTGAAACCTTGGTCGCAATCACGACAGTTGCACAATTCCCAGAGCAGCAGGGCCGCCTTTGCGGGAGCCAACATCTTTATTCAGCATTCACACGTGCCAAAAAGAAATCAAGCCACATCGATCAAAATAATTGATCTGGAGACTGGTATGCTAGGCTTAGGCCAGTCCAGCTACAATAACAACCATTCGCACAGCCTTTCGAAGGCGCGTACTTGCGGCAGTCTTTTCTCCTGCAAGCAAGGTCGGTTGAAGAGCTCTTCCTCTTAGCACCTCTGTGAACTCAAAACCACTCGCACTCATAAAAACTGATGAGCACAACAATCTTCGCTCGTTCAGCACTCCGGAGACGCGGGCAGCCATGTTTGTTAACGTTTCAAACCAAAGCGGGAGAAGCAATCTCAGAATACATTTGAAAGCAATAATCACTCTATCTTGATTATTTGCTTCTGAAACATAACAAATGGTAAATTGAAATACTATTATGACACAGATATGCAAATTTGTAACCAACCTCTCATACGTCAATTATCTCTCCAGCCAATGAGATGAAAGCGTTTTGTAAGCACCGGGCGGGGTTTAGCGGGCTGCGTCCTTTACTTTCTGCACCTGAATTGTGTCTAACGGCAGAAATATTGCGCAATATTTTAGTCTTTTTTAGAAAATTACGTTTCCAATTTATGCTCCTCAAAGTACTTTTTTTCCTTGGAGTGTCCCTTTAAGCCGGGGTCACACTGCGCATACGTCATACAAAAGACAGTCTGCAAAAAGGAGTCACATCAAGATTAGTGGTTCAAATGCCTCCTGCCAAGTTTTCTCTTTGAACTCGTTGCCATGCGGCATTCGAAGCATTCTTTTGTATGATGTATAAGCGGTGTGACCCCCGCTTTAAGCTCTCAGTAACTGTAGGCGGACTTCGTAGTTTTATTCGGAGTAAAACCCACAAGGTGTTCGTAGAAAAAAGAGCGAAAAGACTTGTCTCGAGGGAATTTCACTCATCTGCATTCGTCCCAGGTTTAGACTATTCTAGATTTTCATCACGTTTTCGAACCTATGCGGAGCGCAAGTTCGTCTGCATCCTGAGCAGGGGGTTGCTGTGACGTCAGAACGTCGAGTTCTTATTGGCTCCGACGTGAGGGATAGTGGGTAGACCTCGAGCAGGGTGCAAGATAGACAGGTGGGGAAACGAGAGCCAAATGAGAGAAAAAGAGAAACCCCCTCGGGTTTCTCTTTTTCTGTGGCGCCATCTATGTAGAGCACCGCGAACTCTAACTCCTGGTGGGTGACCGGTGGCGACCGACTAAACCAACGTTACTAAAACACTCAGTTGGGAAACTCGCCGTCGAAACCTGGGCCGCTGGCGTCCACCGAGACCGAGCTAAATGCGACAACAGCGCCACTCTTTATCGTTTGTCTGTACTGTGGTCACCTTGAGCTTTTTGAAAGCCTGTTTTTGCGTAAAAACAAACGAAAAAGACTCTTTTTGTATGAAATTTATTGGAGTTTAGTACCAAAAGAGGGGCGCGTTATGTTTTTAAAATCTTTAGTTTGCAGGGTTTTGCGGCCCAATTAATATTGTTTTTATACAACCATGCCTCAGCGGGCCTTTCAGGTAGCACGTCCCGCCCTAGGTGCATTTTAACCTCGGTAGCTCAACGCGGCGCGTCCGCCGGGGAGACGGGGGTGGCACCCCTGTAACCTCTACCGCTATATCTGTTCTTTACGCCAAAGTAGAAGTCACGTGCAGTTCCTCGAGTGGCCGCTGCGGGAGAAATAGTGTCGTTGTGTTCGTCATTAGCTCGGTGCTCGGAGACAGTTTGGGGCCATTTTTTCAAAGCTGTCTCTATGGGAGTTTCCAGACATGTACAAATTACTCAAAAAAGGTAGTTGAGCTAAGTTACTGAGTATCGACGCCAAAAGTAGTTGAAGTAGAGTAGAAATTACGCATTTGTAATAGTAATTGAGTAAACTACTAACTACTCTAAAAAAGTAGCGAATTACTTTGAAGTTACTTTTAAGTTACTTTTTATGTTTTTCTGGCAGCAAAATGAACAGAAGTTTTGATCGGTGAAAAACCCTGCGAGCCGGAAATAAATGCCGTCATTTTATGGCTTCCAAAATAGTTTATTTGCTCGCCGAAGCAATTGTCTTTCAAAGTAATTATCGGAGAGTTTTCCTCTTTTCCTTCTAATGACGTCCTCGGTCAAGCTAAAAAGAGGTTCCACCGTGGCGCTCGATGCAAAGACAGCGTTCAATTTGAGAAACAGGCTGTGCAGGGTCGGGTAAGCGAGTGTCGGCATCTTTGGTGTCCATGACGAAACATGTGAGGCTTGCCTCGGCTAGAGGTTTTTTTTTATAACAAACTCTTTTTTTTTTTTCGGAAAGTTGAGATTGTTATGATGGCCCCTCTTTATTCTTACGACGTTCGGAGATTTCGCCGAGCGAGTGCACCTGACCGTCAAGGAATCAAGTCTCGCGCCACAACGATGAGATCATCCGGACGGCTGCGCGCCTAGTTGCAATGTTATAGCTACGCCACTTAAAAAAAAAAAAAAAAAAAAAAATTGTTTTTTGCCGTTGACGTTGGGTCCAA